AGATCGAGTTGTACAATGGTTGTCCTTGAACAATATTTGGCTACAAAAAACAGACATATAGATTCTTCGTTTAATAAACGAAAAGCTGCAATAGATATTTTTCGTTTTAGATCTTTCAATGGGGTTTTATACAAAAAGTAGATTTGCAAGATAAAACTAATAAAGATAATAAATGTGGGAAGATTATGTACAAAGTTCAGGGAGATTAAATAGGAAGGGTTGTTTAGGTAATCGTAGAATTCTTATTTTTTAAGTGAGAATCATTGGTTTGGGTGTGATTTTAGTTTTCACTTTTTTATATTTTTAGAAATTTGTAATTTTTAGATTTAAAAAAAAAAGTTGTAATATAATTTTGGAATTTTGATTAAAACTAACAATCAAGCTACCTTGTCAGGGATACACTCACATGGGGTGGGATGCATTTTTTTGGATATTTTTTTATTCAAGTGGGTTTTATACGGGGTCCACACGAATGTGAGTATATGTCAACTAACATGTCAGATACATTATAGCAAAAGAGCTTTATTTCAAAACTAATGGCCACGTAAGTTCTTCTTCTTCCTTTTTTTTTTTTTTATCCATTTTTAGCGCCTAGTAGGCTAGGTGTTTTGATCCCGTACTTAGAATGTGCTGGTTAAGTCTTGGACATGGTGGAAATAAGCTTATCCATCTGATTTATGGTGAAATTCATAATTACAAATGTCTTAAGATATAATTTAAAAAATAACAAACATGTGAACGAATTTCAAAATCAAGTGGTCACATTTTGTGATCTCTGGTAAAATATTATGGCACATAATCTAATTAAATAGTTCAAACTCATAATAATGCGCAATTTATGATCACGATCACATATTAGTAAAACATCACATAAGGTTACAATCACAAAAGACACAATCTGTGGGTAACATGTGAATTTAATCGCAAATCATACATTTAATAGGTTGTAATTATGGATTAGTTGTAAATATTCAATTAGTTGGTCACAAACACCACTCATCCATCTCACCTCACTGCTCAACCTACACAACTCCAATGTCCTAAACACCACACAAATCATCGTCACCATCTCAAATTCACAAGCTTTTACTTCAAATTCACAACAACAACAATCACCATCACAGTCAACACACCGTCACCACAATCCACAACCATCACCATAATGGTTACACTCTTCTTTTCCGCACAGATCTACAGCCACTTCACAACACCCTTCATAGATTTGCATGCCTTGTGAGGCACTGATTCATTCCTAATTTGAGTCTGGTCCCATTGATGAAGACACATGATTGGTATAGTAGTGGAATGGGATGGTGACATTATGGGCATAGGTCCACGATGGTGGGTCCCATCAATGATGTTGTATTCAAGCTTTTTGGGATTCGCAATTAAAAATTCGAAGATTTTCTTGTAGATTTTGGGTACCATATGATGTTGTAAGGCCAATAGATGTTGGGATTGTGTTTGGGGTAATTTTGTCGACAGTAGGTGATGGGTCAAAATGATGGTTCAATGTGGACTATAGGGTAGCTCTATAGGGATCTAGTAGATTTTAGGCTGAATATGGTATTGTCGGGCCACCCGAAGGTAGGGGTCATGTTTGGGATGTGATTTCTTTGACAGTAGGTGGTGGGACCAACAATTTAAGTGGTGGTTCGAGATGGAGCTAGAATGGCAGTTTAGGGGAAAAAAAGGTTGAACCCCAGCTTTGAAGACCCTCATCGCCTCGTCCCTAGAGTTTTGTGAGGGAGATAAATTGCAGGATGTGCCCCAACAGGCCAGAGAACAAAAGCAAGAGTGGTAGTTTAGGGCTTAGATGAGAGATGGAGTGGGGGTTGGTGTGGTGTAGATATACCAGATTTTTGATAAATAGAATATTGATGCCTAATATTTGAAATTGAAAGTTGAAAAGTTGGGATTGCGGTAATTTTCTCATCTATATATTATAGTAAGCCCTTGTTTGGTTTGGATTAAAATTTAATAAAAACATAAGTTAAAGTCAATAATTAATTTTAACTATAAATTTAATAGGATCCACAATTTTTCAACTATACATGTTATAACTTTTATCAAAATCTACTAAAAATCTAATTTTAATCTACATCAAACAGGGATTAAATGTAAAATATAACTCTCAATGTTGAGGAACATATTTGGACGACGACTTATAAGAGTCCTAATGTAAGGGAAACATATTTGGACGATAATTTTTTTTTTTTTTTAGTAATTCACACAAATCAAAAATCATTTACATTCATTGGCTCTTCAAATTATACGTTATGTTGTTATTTGTCTTTTAAAATTTCATGGTATATTGTAATTAAAGCAATTAAATGTTTTAATTAATGGCTTCCTTAGTTAACAAGCTTTCTTAGTTCATGCACAATCCAACCACCAATTATTTAATATCAGTTAAATGCATGTTGTGTTTTCTTTGGGATACTCTTCGTATGATCTTCTTCTTCGCAGGTACTCTCTACCTATCATTTATGCTTTCTCTGATTTTGATTGGGTTTATAATGATGATGAGTACACATTCATCAATGTTTTATATTGTATTTCTTGGTCATAGCCCAATTTCTTAGTTGTTCAGAAAGCAACTAACTTTGGCTCAATCTTCCATTAAGATTGATAAAGGGTTGTTGCGTCGATTGTTTATGAGGTTATTTAGATTAAAGCACTTCAAGAACTTTTCCAACCATCTATTGATATAATGTCATTATCAGCTTTGATTTGATCCTATATTACACTTCAAGATGAAGCATGTTGTGTTGATGTTCATTTCGAGACAAACGATGTTAAATTAGGACAATTCGTGTCTTGCATATTGCTTATGCTGATCAATTGGTAGATTTACTCACAAAACCTTTGTGAATATCTCAATTTCAAATAGGTGTCACAGATAGTTCATATCTCGTCGGAACATGTTATAGATAAGTTTTATACAACCCGGACAAATTACCATCATGATCCTAATACACATTAACTTCTTGTAAATTAATTATAATAAGTTTTTCTACACAAACATAAGTCTAGAAGGGTTACTCTTATTTTGTAATTATGTAGGATTATAACTTTCTTCTATAACATAATGTTAAAAATAAATAAAGTGGGATGATATTCGAAAATGATGTTGTATTCTAACACTATTTAACAATTTTTAGGTGGAGCACTATTAATACCTATTTTTAGGCTAACTAATGATACCCAAATAATGAATCCCGGATATCTATAATTAAAAGTAACAAGAGAATTAAGTATCGTTGCATAAATACTTATACACAACTAGCAACTAGCAAGTATCGTAGATAAATATTTTAAAACTTCGAGTATTGAACTCACTGTCCGATCACTCCATCTCCACGAGTACTATATTTTTTTCATACCAATAGGTACCACTCCTATGTAATACTGATACCTTATTAAAAATGGCAAAAATTCAAACGTTACAAATCCATTTTATATACAGTAATTACCTGTTGATCTTAATGAAAAATATACGTTATATACATTTATATCTTGAAATGCCCAAAAAAATATAAAAATAGAGATTAAATTAGTTAAACCATATAGATAAAACTACAGAAAAATTAAAGTGAACTCGGAAGATTTTTCTAGACGGAGCCCCAGAAATTCGATAACCACTTCCAACGCTTAATCTTACATCAAGTAAGCCCTCATCTGAATTCTATTAATTTTCATTCTATTACATTCCATTTTTCTCTTTCCTATTTTTAACTACACAATCTTTTATAAAATAATATTACACGTAAATCGAAAATTTTTCATTATTTTTCAACCACTCATTTTTCGAAAAAATATTATTCCACCAATTTTCATTTCACAAAAATGAGGGCCAAACGGGGGCTAAGTGTCTGATAGAAACAACAGAAGATTAGAGTTCTTGAATGAGGATTTTGAGAAAGACTTTGGAAGTATTGAAGGAAGTCTCTCAAAAGTCACACCCACAATCAACACGACAAAATGTCGAATGAAGTGTTCAAGACAATTGAAGACTCCTGAAGCATATCCAACGCCATTTTAACTAGTCCACATATCGATATCACCATCCCAATTAAATCCATCACTATAGAAATCGTGTTTTCAACATATAGTTTAAACATATTTTTCACATCTCACGTACCACACATGCAGATCACAACATATCCAACTATTTTGAATCATCCATGATGTAACTTTTGAAAAGCTGTGAAGACTATATTTATGTCCAATGATACATGAATTAAGAAAGCAAAGACAAAGTGGCTTCTTTTATGTGGTTTGTACATGTATTTATTTTTGGTTTTAACCAAAGTTAAATATTTTCTTTAAAATTTTATGAGTAAGATACACCTTTTTATATGGATTCAAATAATTATTTAAAGAGGTAGTATTTATGATATTCTAAACGAATTAAAAATAAATAACGATAGAAATCAATTCATTCTCATGTTCATTTTTAATCATATATTCTAAGAATATCATTTTCAAATTTGTCATAGTTTTTTATTTTGTTACCACACATTAAATTATTATTTTTCAAAAAGTCACCTCTCCAAATATTTTTATGAAACAATCACCTAATCTGACTATACTTGGGAAAAAGAGTGGGATAAAAAATACTTTGTTCTATCGAGCACTTTAGCACATCAAATAAAAGTTCTAATCTTGAAGTGAAATTTTCCATAATATTAATAAATTAAATTTTTTATTTGATCTCGAATAAAATATCGATGATGTGTGGTGAGGATTAAAATAAAATTTTTTTAATAGATTGTGATAGAAATTTTTAAAATATGTGTTTGAAAAATTGTGAAATTCATACAAAATGTGATTAATATTGACTGACTTCAAATAAGCTCATAGTCAAATTATTATAATATAGATTAGGGCGCCGCGATTTACATCCATATAGGTAAATTTAAAAATTATAATAATTATATTTTTAAAAGTGGACGTGTATATATAAATACATGTTATATTCTATTTGGACTAAAAACCCATATTTCCTTTCAAGTTAACTCGATAATTTCATTAGTAAACCTAGCCAGATTTTGGAAACCTTTCGCGAAATTCAGCAGAAGCAATTTCGTTTTCAAATTTTGTCCAAACCCAAAGATCTTTTCAATCGTAAAGATCCTCGTCAAGATATATCCACTGATTATATCTGGGTGTATATAGACGAAATCTTTCTATTTGGGGTGTAGAATTGAGGATAAACATGAGCTGGAGAAGAGTGGGAAAGGCAGCTCAAGCGGTGGCAGCGCACGCTTTGCTTTTCAGTTTCATGGTTTCGCTTGTTCTAAAGCTCGATCATACTGTCTCCTACTCTTGGTGGTCGGGTTTTCTTCACCCAATTCTAGTTTTTTTATTTTTATTTTTTGTGTGTTTTTATTTAATATTTGAGCAAAGACTTTGTTGTTTTTCTTCGAAAATTTGTTAATTAGTTTTTTATTTAGGGAATCGGGTGCCGAAAAGATTTTCTCTTTTTCTTGTAATTCGCGTTTCTGCGAAATTGGTATGGGGATGATGAATTTGGGAATGTGGAGGCTTTTTAGGTTATTGTTGTTGGTTCTTATTATTTTTCGAGTTTTGTAAGAGATTGTGGAAGTAATCAACTGGTGGACTATACCGATTTTAGGAAATCTGGTGTGGAAAAGATTTTCCCCTTTTTATTTTTTATTTTTTTTATTTTGCCTTTCTGCGAAATTGGTATGGGGATGATGAAATATGGAATGTGGAGGCTTGTTAGGTTATTTTTGTTGGTTGTCTTTGTTTTTCGAGTTTTGTAAGAGATTGTGGAAGTAATCAACTGGTGGACTATACCGATTTTAGGAAATCTGGTGTGGAAAAGATTTTCCCCTTTTTATTTTTTATTTTTTTTATTTTGCCTTTCTGCGAAATTGGTATGGGGATGATGAATTTGGGAATGTGGAGGCTTTTTAGGTTATTGTTGTTGGTTCTTATTATTTTTCGAGTTTTGTAAGAGATTGTGGAAGTAATCAACTGGTGGACTCTTGAGGTCTGTAAGGAGTAAACTGTGAAGGCCACCAGTTTATCTAAAATGGAGTCTGTAGGAAGTCTGCAGGAATGATTGGGAGATTGCATATAGTGTTTGTGTATGCTATAGGCAATTCTTCTGAAACATTGGAATAATTCTGCGTCGTCCTACTTGATGAATTGCCACATTCCTTTTGAGTATAGGGTTAGTATAAGTCCTCCACTCTTTGTTATTATTATGGGAAAATTATGTTCAGACGAAACATCACTTTCTCAATGAGAAAGTAGAGACGAATTCTTCCACTCTTTGTTATTATTACGGGAAAATTATGTTCAGAAGAAACATCACTTTCTCAATGAGAAAGTAGAGACGAATTCTTCCACTCTTTGTTATTATTACGGGAAAATTATGTTCAGACGAAACATCACTTTCTCAATGAGAAAGTAGAGACGAATTCTTCCACTCTTTGTTATTATTACGGGAAAATTATGTTCAGAAGAAACATCACTTTCTCAATGAGAAAGTAGAGACGAATTCAGGATATTGATTTTTGAGTTGTGGAAGATGCAATTTTCACGCATTCAATGCACAAATATAGAATCTTATGATTTAGTCATTCAAAATATACGAGTCCTGGTCCCTGTTCATTATCAATCTGCCCGTACATATGCTAACAAGTTGGTGTACATGGTAATTTGAAAGACGTTATCTAGTTAAAGTATGAAGTGGAAGATGCTCGATGAGGTAGGTAGTCAATGGGGAAGCCAGCAAATGCCGGATTATTGCCAGCTTCACAAATAGATTTTTTGGTTAAGGTAATCAAAACGAAGGAAAAAAAAGAGTAACGTTTTAGGCATTTGGTGAATTGTATCGAATATTTTGGAGTAATACTATATATCACCACTGGTGATCACTCGCCAATGTAGCAGTGGCACCACTATTATATTGTCCAATGAATGCATTATTCAATATTTTGGTGTGTGCCTAGATGCACGTGGCATTTCTATATGACATGTCATGCTTGCACCTGCCCTAGGTTTTGACAACGAAGAGTTTTTTTTTTTTTTTTTTCGAGAAAATAAATTCTATTGAACAGAAAAAATTGAACATTGTTTTGCGATTCCAGGGTCTTTTACAGTTTCTGATGTTATTCGTTTTAGGAGCTATAGATTGGATGTGAAAGATGAATTTTTTACGGATGAAGTTATTGCATTGGAAAGAAGTATGAATGTAGCATTTGCTGTAAATTGTAGAGACGGAAAAGAAGAATAATAAGTAGGTTGACGATAGGAGTGCCTTTACCCAAGGTTTGTGCCAAATCAGTAATATATACTAGTTCCCCTTTTTGATTGGTTAACTTCACTAGAATGAAAGAGATTAAACAAGTGATAAACCTATAGACTTTTCCAACTATAATGATCACAGGTGAATTCTGAGACTAGTTCTAGTGGGCTCAATTCATGCTAAAATAGCAACAGAAAATCCTCAACCAAAGAACATAGACCAGAAGTTATTAAAAAAAAAAAAAAATGAAAAGAAAAAAGAAAAAATGTAAAACACTCTTTGGCTTATCAGTATTAACTCTAAAAACTGATATTCGAGCAGTTTGTAGTAAAATTACAACAGAGAACATCCTCTAAGAGCAGGAATCTTGTGAAATCAGCATAATCTCCTTGTAATTGCCAAACTTATGAGTATTTACATCAGAGGATTGTGGAGATGGTTGTCGCAAGAGAATTTCCTGTTGGTGGTTGATGCAACTTAGGCAACATTTCTGATTACTCATCTGAAAGAAAGGAATGCAGAAATGATTTTATTTGTAATGCTGATTCTGTTAACATAAAATTCTGCAGGGTTTAATGGCTATTATAGATCCTGAAATGCTATGCTTCATCTCCCAATATCTAATTGGTATCTGATTCAGATTTTTCTATGCTTTAAATGTAATTCCGGCTCCACGCAGTTTATGACGTTGATAGTTTTTCCATGTCTATATATCATTTGATTCTGTCATCAATAATGATCTTAGAATCAGCGAATAAATCTTGGCTTTTGTCTATAACATGGATCATTAAATCTCTTTGATGTGCAGGATTGTTTTTCTTCCACTGTGGCTATTTCATGCTGTTGTTGCCCGAGGAAGATTCTCTCTACCTGCCCCATCTGTTCCACATGATCGCCATGTATGCCCATATTTTTCTTTGTATTTTTGGAATAACATTGACCATACAAATTCTGCTAGTCTAGTTGAAGTTGAATTGCAACTCCAAATCTCCATGTTGAGCATGCATCATGATAGTTTGTATATATTTCTTTGTTTATTTATTTCCTTTTGTCTAAAATCTGTGGGTAGTGGGCACCATGTCATGCTGTTGTTGCTGCGCCGTTGCTTGTTGCATTTGAACTGCTTCTCTGTACATATCTTGAGAGCACAGATGGTAAGGAAGAAAAATCCTCCAATAACTTTTACTACTATTAAGAAATTGAATTTAACTTATCTTTTATTTCCTTGTTTATTATCTTCCTTACAAACTCTAGCTCTATTATTTTGCAGAAGAGATAAATTTTTACCTTTGTGCTCGTAATCTGCTTTACTCTTCCTCTATCTTAAGATGTGTTGGTGAAATGATGAAAAAATTGTTTTAGGACACAATGTTATTCCTGTTTTCAATAGAATTTTTTGAAAACTGTTATTGATTTGAAATTTTTTAATTTTGTTCCATGATGCAGTCAATCATTCTGCTGCAGTGAACTTGAAAATTGTCTTCCTTCCTTTGTTGGGATTTGAGGTTATTATCCTCATTGACAATTTCCGGTACGGTAATCCACTTGATTGTCCTTATTCGGTCTGCTTTTGTTCACATGGAAAAAAGGGTGCCGCTATATACATCCACAGTTTTTATGTATATATACATCCATTCTGTTTACATCCCTATTAAAATATTAAAAAATTACTATTTTCATCAACGTCAAATTTCAATATTGTCCTTATTAAATTCATTCATTTAAACATTATAGATCCATACAAATTTTATATATTCATCCATTATAAATACATTCTTGATACAATTTTAAAAGCATTATAAAAATCACTATATTCATTTAATCACTATCAACATTAAATCTGCTTCTTACTTTCATTTTCTATATTGTCATGTTGGTGCTTTAAAATTTAGTTATAAAGTTTCGCAATGTAAGAATATTTGAACAGATATTGTCATAAAATAATAATGATAATAATAATAATAATAATAATATTTGAATAGATATTGAAACTTATTTTGAAATTTCTCGTATATTTTCAACTATTAAGCCATACTTAAAAAAGCATAAAAAATAATATTTCATTTTTCATAGTCATGAAAGAATTATGGCTCTGTTTGTTTCCCATTTTTAGAAAAATGAGAATGAAAAATATATAAGTTATGAGCCCACACAAGAGATAAAAATTCAAATTTGATGACTTGATGTGATGAATAACAGTCATATTTTTCATTTTAATGGGAAACGGGGGCTATAACTCTAATAATGTGTTGTTTTGTATTTTATTTTATTTTATTTTTTTAAATTTCCATTGAAGATGATATTTTATAATTAGGGTTTCATGTTTTAGATGAAGATGATAATTTATTATTATTATTATTAGAATTTTAGTTAAACACAAACTCTGAAAGAATATAAAAAGGTTTAAAAGAATTTATAAAAATAAATATTAGTGGATGAAGTTAGAAGGATATATTTTTATCTAATTTATATATGTCTATTTAGGTAAATTTATATAGGATAAAAAATATAGTATAATTATATTTTTAAAAGTGGATGTATATATAAAAATTGTAGATGTAAATAGCGGTACCCAAAAAAATTCTCTTAGCACATGCAAGTTCCAATAAGTAATAAATTCATATGCACATCATCCATTTCCATTGGTACACCCAAATACCTTTCGCAGTGTATATTAATGAAGCAAGTTGTTTCTACAATAAAAATACCACCGTGAAAAAGAAAACTCAAATACTTCAGCCTTTTGAACTAGGCTTATATTTAGTGGGAAAATAATGAAAAAGGGTTTTCATAAATCGATTTTTCATGGAATACTTCTCTTTTACCCTTTCATATTCCTATTGATGTAACAGAATGTGCAAAGCTTTATTACCTGGAGATAGTGAAAACATGAGTGATGAGGCAATATGGGAAACTCTTCCTGTAAGTTTTTGGATTTAACAGAAGTAATATAATGTTCCTACTCTGTTCTTAAAAGTTGTTCAGCAGTTCTGAGTGTTACACTTCTATTATATCAATCTGCAAGTTTAGCAGGTGAATGGTTTAGTGAATCACATTGTACTGGTTGTATTTTATTTATTTATTTATTTATTTATTTTGTGTGTCATTAAACAAATCTAAAGAATTTCCGTATGACATGGTGTAGAAGAGATTGAAATTTATAATTGACTTTTTAAAATCAATGGATATTTCTAGACTTTCATGTCAGCTTGCTTGGTTTTCAATATGACTTTACTAATGACAGTTATTATAATTAGCACTTCTGGGTGGCAATCTCCATGATTTTCTTTCTTGCTGCTACAGTGTTCACCCTCCTGAAGCTATGTGGTATGACACACTCTCTCACACTCCTTTTTTCTCTCTGTATGTGTTTCCCCTATGATTCCCGCGCCATAAAAGATAGAAGAAAAGAAGAAAAAGTTCGGACGTCGTAAATCTGTAATTATTAATATAATAGTCAATCACCACCATCACTGGTTTTACTATCTTGATCACATGCGTGTACACGCGCACACCACAAAAAAATTAGAAAAGGTACTCCAAAGTCACTCTCAAACTATGTTTCTATAAACTTCAGATTCTGTTTCATCTGCAATAAGATTTCATCGTTCGAATATTGTTAACTACTTGATTTTGTAGTCCTCTGAACTATCCGTTCAAGTGTTTGGTTCATACTGAATTAATGCTTAATTTCCCTATATTAGCTTTAGTCTTGCCAATTTCCTACATTTTGTTCGGTTGTAGGTGATATTGGTGCCCTTGGCTGGTGGGACTTGTTCATAAATTATGGGTACTATTCCTAACCTTCAATAAGTCTTTTACCTTCACCGTTCTTTCTTTATGATGTGTTTACATGGCTGCAATGCTGAGATATGGCTTATTTTGCGTTTCTATAGTATTGCAGAGTGCTTTGCATTTCTTGTCTGCACAAAATGGTCTAATCCGGCGATTCATAGAAATTCTCATACAATAGAAGCAAGTTCATCATCAACTGCTATTAGATATCTTCACTGGAATAGCGGTTTGGTGGTATCTTCAGATGATCAGTCTCGGGATAGAATGTGTGGTCTGCAAGACATTGGTGGCCACATTATGAAAATTCCAATTATTATTTTTCAAATCCTCCTTTGTATGCACCTTGAGGTATCCATTAGACGTGTTGACGCTGTGGTTAACTGATTACTTAACGGTTCTTCTTTGGAATTTTTTTATCAACTAAGAAACATAGTTTTTAATCAGGGAACACCACCAGTTGCTAGACATGTTCCTCTTCCAATCATCTTTTCTCCTATTTTTGTACTGCAAGCAGCTGGGCTCTTGTTTTCTGCATCAAGATTAGTTGAGAAAATTGTTATTTTACTACGAAATGACGCTGTCAGAGGAAGATATGTTACATACTCTTCAAGAGTTCGTGATTGCTTTGCTTTCTTGCACCATGGTTCCAGGTATTGTCCAAAGATTGGCTATTAGATCGAAGGTCATGCCTCGTCCGGTGGAGATTGGGGTTAATTACTAATAATCTGATTCAGGGTTTTTTAACAATAGTTGGAATACCTTGTACTCAATTTTGCATACTTGTGAATTTTCAATCAGGCTGCTTGGCTGGTGGTCATTAGATGAAGCAAGTCGAGAAGAACAGGTGCGCCTCTTCCAAGATGGGGTCTCAGGGTAAGATTTTCTAAACCATGCAATGTCTCTTGACATTGCTGCTGGAAGACTGATATGATCAAATGTTGGCTTATAAAGAAAGGACCATGCTACATTCACCTAATGATTTACACAATCTTTTACACACACAACACGTGGCGGCCCCCTATTGGAGGCGCGGCTGGTGGGGCCGCCATGTGTTGTGTGTGTAAAAGATTGTGTAAATCTTTGTGTACAAATAGTTTAATCCATAAAGAAATTACATCTGATAAATGAGTGTCAGCTGAAATGAGATGGCGTGGTGCTTATGTGGTAAAACAAGAAGAGGGAGAGAATTAGAAATAACCGCATCTTCGCCGTTGGTTAAGGTAGCATCCATTAAAAATGAATTTGTGGGAGAATTATTTGAGATGGTTTGGGCACATCCAAATGAGCTAATTAGAAAGGACTTGAGCATTTGTGGTTTAAGTTTGGAGGCGAAGGGTAGTATTTTGGGACTTTATTGCCACAGTAATTTTCTGAGTAGAGACATCCTTGACACAAAGAAAAGACAACAATCCTATTCCTATAAAGTACGAAATTGCAAAAAAACAAATTCAAGAAAAGAGAGCTATGAGGCTGCAAAATGTATAATGAATAAGCTCTTCACCAATCTATTTTGGGTTCCTAAACATTTTGAGGGAACCATAGCATTTAAGAGAAGCTACCATGACAGTCAGCAATGGAAATCTGATCCTAATAAAATAAGATTGTTCTTAATTCACTTAGTACCATGCACTTTGAAAAAAACAAATTATGTGGCAAATAGGTACAGCTTTTCTCGTGGAAGGTTGCATGTAAGTTACACAGTTAGTTACTGGTATTGTCATGATATCATGGAAACTAACTAATTCAACCCGTGTGAGAAGTTGGGCAATGCAAATTGCTGTGCTTTTTCCCTCACATCTTTTCAACTATTAATTTTGACATGAGAAATATTTTTTGATTGCTCTCTTTTCTTCGGATCTCGCAATGCACTGATGCAGTGCTTCATTCGTTTTCACCTTCTCCAATAGTACTTAACTTCATTTTTATTCTATCTTGCATCAAATCTTAAGCGATGCAACAAGTGTAGACATGTTCCATGTTTTAGTTTAGCACAATGATTTTACTATTATGAATGATACAGTTATAACACTTTTTGCGGTTATCCACCTGATATAGTGAAGAAAATGCCAAAGAAGGATCTCGCTGAGGAGGTAAATATAATCTCTTCAATTTAGAACACTCCAATGATAGTTTCTTTCTATGTAATTCTCATCATATTCCAGCTTACTACAAAGTTATTCATTTCAGTTTCTACTTAATTCTGTTGTTTGATCCTTTTGTTTTAAGGTTTGGAGACTTCAAGCTGCTCTTGGTGAGCAAATGGAAATTACCAAATACAACCAACAGGAATATGAAAGACTTCAACATGTAACAATCTTACTCTCGACTAATGTAGTTGATGCTTCGCCAACATCTAATACTTAATTTTCCATGCCATGCTGACGAATTATGTTGTATGCTGTTCCCATTTTTTATTTTATTTATTTGTTTATTTATTTTTTTGTTGGTGAACTTGACTATTTGCTAAAATAGAATTCATTCATCAATGCTATATTTAAATATCGTTTTGCCCCAATAAATTTAACTGTCAAGAAGTTTTATTTTTAAAGTAAGTTGGATGAATATTTTTCAACCCAAAAATAATTATAGTAATAAATATTTCCAGTATTACTACATCTTTTACAGTCAGAGATCATATCTCTGTTACCTACATCTTCGTAGATACAGTAGCATATTGAACAACCTTAAAAGTTGAGCAAACACTACAAAAAGCAGCCTAAAGAAGGAAACTTTTTTCTGATCGGTGTTATTTTCTTGTTATAAAATGTCAACATTCTTCACAATAAAGGCATACGTTTCTTGGATTTTTTTTTTACTGAATTACATTTTCTGTTTGAATGCTCTTTAAAATTTATAAGCGCATTAGGAGGTTGGATTCCTAACTATTTTATTGTAATTCTGTCCAGGAAAAAGTTCTATGTAGAGTCTGTTTCGAGGGAGAGATTAGCCTGGTTCTTCTTCCATGTAGGCACCGCATTCTGTGCAGGTACGATTAATTTGTTAGTTCTCTGCAGCTCATCTAACATGTGCTTTCTTTGTTCGCATACTAATTGATCTTTAATTTCGTGCAGCAACTGCTCTGATAAATGTAAGAAATGCCCTATTTGTCGTGTGTCTATCGAGGAACGCTTACCTGTATATGATGTATAGACAGACTTGTATATACCTAATCTGTAATGTATTTGAATGGGTAGATGCAGTTTTCTCCACAACTCTCAGTATTAGTGAGATTAGCTTTGATAGAACTAACAGAATCTAACTTTGACCTCACTGTAATACCCTTATTTTCATTCTTTGTAAATATGAAGGAGAAAGCTGTATTTATAATTCCTTTGTTTCAATATTGGTATTTCTGGTATTGAGAGCTTTGAGGTCTTTTAGGGGTAAAGAATGCTCATTAAGGATCTACATCTTGTGTTCGGGTTTGCTTCGAAGTTAAAAGCGTACCCTTTTTTCTTTTTCTTTTTTTTCCTCAAGAAAATCTATTATGTCAATAATTTGAGGCATGCTCATTATATTTGGATGTTACTATTAATGGTCGTGCTACAGATAAATAATAGGTTTACATAATGATTTTTTTTTTTTTTTTTTTGGGGTTTCTCTTTCTCAAATTTCGGTACTAATACTTCTTTAAAAGGTATTAATTAAAGTTTAATTAATTGGGACAATCTAATTCAAAATTTTGGTAATCATTTATAAAAACTTAAGGTTGTCTAGCATTTTAAGTAAACTAATCTAAACAATATGTCACCAAAGTGACCTCTTTTGTGTAGATTGATTTGTTTAGGATGCTTGGATGTTGTGTGTGTGTCTTTTCATGCGGAAATTAGCCGGCCCAAAGGAAGGTTAATATCTGACCGAATTACACACACTTGTGGTGATGAATGTGTGGCAATTATAAGATTTCCATGTGAATAATAAATCAATCCAAAGATGGGTTTATTATTTGACAGGAGTTATTGTCAATGTTTGATCACTATACTGAGAGCACCATTTGCAATTAATATAACTGTCCAAAGACTTGATGTTGATGTAGCACTAGGTATCTTGAGATGGGATTTACCACTATTTGAATTTATCAATTTTTAACCTAAAATAAAAAATAAGTTTTAATTAATATTTTTTTTTTTTTTTTTGATAACCCAGGTGTCCCAACTTAGCCAGACTAAATCCTGGACCTCTAGCCCCCGGCCCCTCAGTGACTAGTGGAGGTAAATCGCAGGTTGTGCCCTTGTTGGTTCTCAGGTTCCCACATGACTTTTACTCCTTCCCCAAAGGGACCCTCCTCCATGGTTATTACATCACCAAGCTGTTCCAACCCTTCCTCTGGTTATTACATCACTTGGCTGCTCCAACCAGGAATCGAACTCCCCACACTTGGTTCCAGAGCCCCCCAATGTGATTGTTCCGCCAACTTGGATGTGCCCTGGGGGGCAGGTTTACATAATGATTTGAATACACATTATGTGGTGATAGATAATTGGATCAGAATTCTTCCCAAAAAAAAAAAAAAGAAAAGAAAAGAGGAAAGAACAAAAATATACTTTTTTTTTTGACACGTCGTCTGTATGTTGCTAATGGGGCTTCAACTGAGCCTTGTATGGCTAGAAATGCCTTCCACTTGACGATCTCTTTTTCAAATTTAGCTTTTTCTCTCAGCTGATAGCTTAGCTCACGCTCTGGCAAAGGATGACGTTTGGGTAGAAAAGCCTTCTAGTTTTATTGTAAAATGGAATGGTGGTTGTAGAATAGAACGCGAGTGTGTCAAATGCTACATCCGTCTTATAAGGGTACGCTTTATTATTTTTAATTTTCTGATATGCATTTATTTAATGTACTTTATTATTTGCAAATATACACTAATCTTATTTAAACATTATTTAATGTAGGGATATATTTGGAAAAATGTAAGAAATTTTTTTATTTTTAATTATATTAATCACATTTTCTTAATCTGTGTGAAATAAAAACAAGCCTATCTTTATGGGATGGAGTAAGTAAAATTTACCTCCAAGTTCCACCAAACAACTTCCTTTTCCTCGGAAGCTACTATAAACATATCATTATGACGTTCAATCATGTTGGATGTTATATATTAACCTTCGAATAATAAATACTATAGACCTAATTAATATTAGACTCATATGCAGAAACATCACAACGACTAGATTGATAATATATTTTTTTGAATTTATGGCACCTAATATGGAGACGGTCATTTCATTATTCATATGGACCTTAAGAAACTCGGTGATAAATAATGAGAGGCACCGTTGCTGACAGTCGAGGAATTAATAATCATACCTTAAGTAACTCAAATTTTTAAAAATGGAAGAAACTATAATTTGCATGTTAAATCAGGTTTTTTGCTAACAAATTTTCCTAACTATGTAGACCATTGTCACCCCCAAGCAAGATAGGGGTCGTATAACGTAAGAACAATTTACTATATACCACAAATAAATGCACCAATGCTTCCAGTAACAGAATAGTAATAATTCTGTGGTTCATATATTTAACAAATTCTTCACCCTTAACCTGATTATCGAAAAGATAATAAAATTAACCGCATAGGCTTTATTATAATTATATATAGTTAGAGATACAAAGAATACATAAAAAATAATAAAACGCTTCCAAGCTAGAGTTTTGTACTACACTTGGGGCCTCATCGCGCTCCACCCCAAGGATTGAAGAATTCACCGACGGGCCTTCCATTTCCGCTTCGGAAAAAGGCTCTAATAAGACCCCCTCGTCAAAGTCCGTCCACCCGGCCGAGATTGATGGATCGGAAGGAGTCGGAAGTGCTTCCACCATAGTCAAAATCAAAAAAGGATAAACAAAGCAAAATTCAGGGGGCCATGTGGGGCTGCTTTTAGCCTGGGCATTGAGAGATTTCCTAACTTATTTTGGTTACAATAAATGATGAATTACAAAACTCATTATAACCTGGATGATAAAATCAGCACTAGTGATAATAGCATAATTCTTAACAAGTAGACATGATTATATACTTAGCCCCAGTTTGATAGGATTATAAAATATATATTCTAATTTTTATAAAACTAAATTATCAATAGTTTAGTAATTAATCTCTAAATTAAAGGTAACTAAATAAGGATAATTACCATCTCCCCCCCCCAACACAACTGTGTCTCTTTGTATTCGCTCTCTTTTTAATATATATGTGCGGTGATAGTTTTATGGTGGTGTATATAGTGTCGGTGATGGTGCTGGTGCTGGTTCTGGTTCTGGTTCAGTGCGGTGGATCTAGGATAGGTGCAGCCGATGGTGGTGATGGTTGTTATGATTGTGGTGGTGGTGGTGCGAGGTGGTGTGTGGGATGGTGTACTGGTATAGTATGGTAATGGTAGTGCAAGTTGGTGTATGCGGGTGGTGGTGATTGTGTAGTGTGGTGATGGTGCTTCGATGGATTTGGGTGGTGCTGGTTATGGGGGTGTGGTGAGGTAGCCGCGACGTATCGATACATATTTGTGTCGGATGGTGGTGCAGTGGCTCTTGCAGTGTCATTTTTTACTCATTATTCATTCTCGTCCCAACAATTTATTTATTTATTATTATTATTTTTTATTTTTGATTTTGTGATGACCAGAGTTCTGGGTGGATTTTGGTGTATTGGTAATGGGCATCGTTGTGGTGTGGTGCAGGCTACGTCACGGTTGTGCGATGGTGGTGTAGGTGTTATTGGTTGGAATTGTAGTGGATGTGGGTAGTGGTGTTGTGGAGGTGGCAGCACGTCATGATGGATTTGAGGAGGTGATGGTAGTTCATTAGATGTGGTGTCAGCGTGGGTGTAGGCGGGATGGGGTAGGTGAAGTGGAAGAGATGATGAGAAACTTGCAACCAATTAATTGAGTAATTGTGAACAACAAAACAAATAAAGCGTGGCCCATATAATATATAATCTAAAACAATTTGTGATTAAATTTGTAATTGTGAAGTATAATTTGTGTTTTCCCGATCGATAAGTAAGTTGTGATCAATTAATTTGATAATTTATGATCGCAAAATATCTCGTGATCAATTAATGTGATAATTTGTGATTGTGAATAAATTGTGATATATAAAATTCGTGATTTGTGATCGAGAAATACATCGTGATCAATTAATTTCATAAGTTATGATCAAGAAATAATTTGTAACTAATTAATTTGATAAATTGTTAAAGTGAAATAAATTGTGATATATAAAATTTTTAATTTATGTATGTGACTTTATATGATTGTGATTAATACATAACTATGACCACAAATTATATATTGTTGTGATCTCAATTTATTTATTTAATTAGATATATTTAATTATCTATTTAATTAATACCATATGATTTTTGGAATCAATATATAACATTACAAAAATTTTGAGTGTACAGAATTTTAAGTTTATAGAATGTGTAGTCTTACAAATGGTGGACCCCACATAAATATTTTATTGCAAAAAAAATCACCCACCCCCTTGATGTGTATATTCTGTACAATATCTGTACACTTAAATTTCTGTACATGTAAATTAACTCATAACATTAAGGTTATATTTGAGCCATATTTTTTTTTCAAGAAAATACATTATTAAACAGTGATTGACATCACTTTAAATACACATTTTTCAATAAAATAATATTACACGTAGATTTAAAACCTTTCTTTATTTTTTAATCACACATTTCCATCAATACACTATTTAAAATATATTATTAGGAATATAATGTGTCTCCAACAAGGGATAAATTCTTATGTTATGTATCAGTGACAAGTCATATACATTTATTGATGGATAAATTTATGATGAATTTCATCATTTGAATTAAGTTGAAATTTATCAATGGATCTATATGACAATTCATCAGTACTTAACATAAGATGAGTATCGATATTCATTAGATTGTTTTTGTATATAGAATATAAAAAACTATTTATGACCCGATTTTTGAAATAAATTTCAAGTTCATCAAAATTTAAATTATATCTTTAAAAAAAGATGCTTATGTATTTTTTTTCCTGAATTTCAACCACTATTTCATAAGATTTACAATTTTTTACATACATTTGATCAATTTTATCAAAATTTAATAAAAAATTGATTTTAATTCCCATCAAACACCTACTGTTTGTACTCCATTAAAATGAGTTTTTGAGAAAAAATGTATTTGAAAATAGTGATTTTTTTTGAGAATATATGATTAAAAAAATAAAAATTTATTTTACATATAGTATTATTTTATTGAAAAATGTAGATTAATTTGAAAAAATAATAAGACTTGTTTGAGCCCCATTAAATTGAAAAAATAAATTTTGAAATAACACATTCATAGAGATTGCGTGGTTAAAAAATAAAGAAAGTTTTGAATTTGTATAACGTTATTTTATTAAAGAACATGTGATTCAAAAAAAAAAAGAGAAAAAAATGTATTTTGAAAAAAAATTGAAATAAAAAAAGGTCATCATCTAACACTTTCTCAGTCGAGCATGTCGCATAGAAATGCAAGATAGGATTAATTTATAATAAAAATATAAAATAATACTATTTGCAACTTTACTTTCGTAATCGCTTTACGTAGTATATATGTGACGATTTGATGTCACATTAATTCGATTTCCCCAACTAACGCTTTCTCGGTCGAACATATTGCATAGAGCTTAGCTAATACAATTTATTTGGCTGACGTGGCTTACAGAGTATTGCTTCAATTTGAGAGTTCAGCGTCATAAAAAAATAAAAAAATAAAAATAAAAATACATCAAATTACTAACCCTGACATTTATGCTATGTAAACCATGGTGAAATCAAATTAGTAATCATCATATATATGCTAGGTCAACGACCATAACATTGAACCGCTACAGATAGCATTCCTCAAAAATACACGGATTGGGGGCGAGCGCTGCAATCTTCCCGATAAAAACAAATAAAACATGAAAATCCAAACTCGGAAACGACTACAGAAGGTATATGAAAGGGACCCTAATTTTGCTTCAACAAAATTCATTTCAAGTCTTACGCGAATCGAAACTTTTCAAAATTAGTTCAATCCAACTTATTCTTACAGCAAAATCCCACAGAAGATCTTGATTCTTTTTTTAAATTTCGTCATCCGGATTTTTCATCCGATTTTAGCAGATCCAAAATGCTTTTCGCTGATTGCAACTTCTCCATACGTGTGCTATTTAGGTAATAATTGAACATTTTATTGAATGTGAGTTAATGACCAAATTCATATAAATGCGTATTTTCTGTTTCATAAACGTATGGTAATTTGTTGGTTCAAGGCCGAATTTTGATGCTTTTATGTGTGTTTCCCTCTTTCAGAAAGAAGTTTGTTTTTAATCGCATTTGCAGTGCCTTTTGTGAATTGAGCTTTTCCTTTTTTTTTTCTTTTCCTTTTTTTTTTGGCTGATTTCAAGCATTATTTTTATTTTGTAATTTCTTGAATTGAGTTAATTCTAACTTCATTTATTTTGCATGAATGATGATTAAAATCAATTTAAGAGTTTTCCTTATTTATTTTCCTCTCCCTAGATATATGTGGTGGAACTTGTCATCTTGATTATTATTCTGCCGATTGTTGCATCCAAGATGGGTTCTATTCTGTCATAAGGAGATCCTCTCCTGAGAAGGTTATGCATCTTATACTATTTGCAGTTCCTTGGGATCTTTTCCCCTTCCGGGTCTGACTTGGTGATACAACTTTGCAAATTTCAGTGATCAAGTCATATCCTGCAATCTTTTGAGTATAACGACGCTGAAAGTGGAGTTCATTTGATGGATGATTGTTGGTTTTGGGCTGGCTGAAAATGAATCGATCTCCTACATTTTCTGTGAAGTCAGAACCTGAATTAAAAGTTGATGAAAGATCTTTGCAGAGATGGATCGTTGCATTTTGTATCATCAGGTTTGATCTAGAGCAGGGTCAGCTCATTGAGGAGTGTTATCCACCTGGCTCTCTTAGCCAAAATGAAGAGCTTGAAGTTGCCTTTAATTCGTTTCCAGATTCTGTTTCCCAGCATCACAACCGGTCAAGCATCCATGATTGTATCTTCTTCTTCCGCACTAGGAGAAGGGAAACTTCTCAAGTGGTCAATGTGGGACCGTTAGACATGGTTGAAGTAGAAAATAATGAAGCATTCCAAGAGCCAGTGACAGCAGGTGTGCTAGACCAAAGAAATAGAAATTTCCGTGGCTTTACCTCAAAATACTTGTATGGGTTTGTTTTTAATAGGCAGAGACATGACGAGAGGTTAAAGCGAGGTGGAGAGCAAAAATCAGTGGTAATTCTTTCTCATAGCCCCTACTCTAGTGTGTTTAGACCTCTGTTACAAATCATGGGACCTTTGTGTTTTGATGTTGGAAAGAAAGCTCTTAATTATATTGCTGCCTATGTATCAAGGTGGCCTACTCCTATTCTTGGTCAGCTAATGGAGCTTCCTATTGGGAATGCGGTACTTAAAGTGAACTTACCGCCTTCTTATAGCTTGCCATCAGATAATGGTGTATTCTTTGAGGACTCTGCTTCATCACTGGCTCCTCTGCTTCCTTCAAATCAGTCTGTACCATATGGTCTATTTCATGACTCAGATCTTTTTGGCGCATTTAGGGGGCTGTTGATGCAGCTCTGGAAGCTGTGGGAGTTGTTAGTCATTGGGGAGCCCATTCTAATCATAGCACCAACACCTCCACAGTGTTGTCAAGCTGTTGCTGGTCTAGTTAGTTTGGTTGCTCCTCTTCTTTGCAGCATTGACTTTAGGCCTTACTTTACTATTCATGATCCAGAATTTGCACATTTAAACAGTCTTCCAGAGGGGGCTTCATTTCCTCCGATGATTCTGGGTGTGACAAACCTCTTTTTCTTAAAAGCACTGCGTAATATGCCTCACATTGTTTCAGTTGGTAGTCCTGCTTCAAATTCAATTCGTTCTGCCATTGGTTCCAGGGCTTCAACGGGGGAAAATCCTGCTGGACATGAAGGATTAAATCAGCGTCTTTCTTTAAGGAAGTTTGCTCCTGCAAATTTCTTGAATGCTGTGAAGTTGAGGAGAGATGGCCCTTTGTGTCTGATGACAGAGCACAAAGAAGCCATTTGGACAAATTATGCTGCAGTGACAAAGCCGGATACGTCTATCTTGAATAGGCTTGTTGATGCGGGCATGTCTCCAAGGGTTGAGGAGTCTATGTCAGTTGTTAACAATGATATATTGCGTCGCCATTTTTTGGAGCTCACCACTAATTTCTTGGCACCTTTTGGCCCTTATTTCAAAGCATCTACACCTTCTGAAGGATCATCTCCATTTTCTGATCCTCCTCCCCTACCCTCATTCAATACCGAGGAATTCCTATGGAGCTTATCAGCAAGAGGTCCTGGCAAATTTCTACTGAAGAGAATGAGGTCAAATTGGCTGGAGCTGTACAGGTAATGATGTTAAATTTCCATCTCTTGTTATATTGATTAGTACGTAAATTGTTTTTGTGATAAGTGAGTTTCAACAACAGTGGGGGTGGAATCCTGTGTGCTGAGAAGTGTCTCATTGCTATATAATTGTGTTTATTTGCTAAAGATCAGTGAAGAAAGTACAAGTATCATGGTATTTTGGGTATAAATTTTTCGTACATCGTATGCCTACTTTTAAGAATAATATTTCCAGTTTATGTTCATTTCAGATGGGTAGAGTTAAATAATTGCTTAAAAGTTCTATCATTTGGTCCTTCCTAAGTATCAATAATTAGCACGAGAGCTGTTTCTTAACACCATCCATGACCTTTAAAAAGTTAGATTTCTGTTGAAAGGATGATTTTACTCTTATTCTCAAATAAATTAGGAAAGAAAAAGGGAAAAGTAGAAATAAAACTAGAAAGCACAGAGGTTGGAATATGTAATAAGAGGAAAAGATTGAGGATGTAGTTGTTAAGAAGGCCATAGGTTGGGATCTTTGCTGCAATTTTCCCTTTTAACTATGACTGGCACAACCTAGACTGCTTAGTAAGTTTCTATCAAAGTGACCATAAAGCTCTGGCCTCTAGCTACTAAACAATATAGGAACACATGTTTGCATTGTAATCATCTTACTTATAGAGAGAATATGATTGTCACTTATAATTCGTAAGATTAATTTGTTGAGTTGCTTCCTCACCATGAAGTGACTCTAGTCTTCCATGCTTGCTTCCCTAAATTACATTCTCTGCTTCCTTGTCAATATTTAGATAGAGACTAAGAACATATTTTCTCATGTTTCTGTCTTCTATGTCACCAGGGCTTCTTAAAGTTTGTGCAAATTGCACTTTCCTTTTCCTGGTCTTTACATTTTCATCACAAGTTAGGGTTGCAAATATTTCTCAATCACTTTTCGCCACATTACTCACTTTTGATTGGATATCTTGGACAACTGAGGGCAGGATATTCCTGCTGCAAAGGCTTCTTTTCATACCATACATCAGTTCAAAATTGAATCCTACCCCAACTCCCACCTGATAGATTAGTGGTTTTGCAAATTTGTACCATCTGATACCAATGCTCCTCTAGATGGTCATATCAAATGTTAGGAGAATTCCCAAGGCATCTGTTACCACCCTAAGCTCTTATTTAATTCTCATTAGTTTGCTTCTCTTACTTGCATCTCTGGAAGATCTCAATTTCCCAAGAAAGGCTTCTTGTATTTTTAGTCTTAGATGTAGTCTTATCTGCTAAATTTTGGATTTCTATTTTTGCGTGTGGTGTTTCCTAGTTATATACGCAACTAATTAGAACTCATCTGGTTTGTGTCATTTTATTTATTATTATGCAGGCGTTTCTTGAAAGGACACAACTTTTTGCCATGGTTTCGGAGAAAGCGTGCTGTTGCTGAGCAAGAACAATATAAACTGTGGAGGCAAGCTAGTATTAATACAAACATACAGCGGTTGATATCTAAAATGTCTGAATTGGAAATTGTTGATTCTTTCAATGCAATTGAAAGGCAGCTTCTAGGAGAAATGCAGGCAAGTGCTTTTTCTAAATTCAATTCAACTCTTTTGGTTCTCATATTGGGTTTCAGTAATCTCATGTATACCAAGGTATGCCTAATGATATTGTTTTATTCAGACAAAAAAGTTTCAAGAACTAGATGAATGATGCATATAGAATGGATAATATTAACAGTCATATCATCCTCGAGGTCAATGCATGCCCTAAAGTTATCCTCCCCCCAAAGGTTGGGAAAGTGGGGAATTGTATTTAGTCCATTTATATTTCAAGCTTGAGAATCTATTTTCACTCATTAAGGGTGCCTACTTGGCTAATTGTTTCCGAGTGTCAAATTCAGATAACTCTGCCATAAATTTTTTCCTTCATGTGGGATGTATTTGGTTCTTAATATTTTGACGTCAATTGATATTGTTACTCAAGTAGTGTGGATGCTGAGAATATTTCAAGTAATGTGTGGTCTTGTGACGGAAGTGTAAGGTATAGTTAATTGCACTAAATAAGAAGTTTAGAATGTAATCATAAAGCTGAAAAGCGAAACTTTGGCTTAATTTGTATATGATACTTCCTGTGCTTCAACATAGGAGTAAAAACATGGTCCTTCAGTGTATATTAACAGTTTTTTGTCTATTTTATATGTCCTAAATTTGTTCTCATTTTAGCCCCTTGATTTTCATGGACATGGAAATCGCTATGCTTAAAGATGGAAATCAACTTGATATTGGTCTTATACCATCTAATTGTTATACATGAATATAAATTATTCACTTTAAAAGGTTTTAAAATGAATCATGAGAACCAACTCTTAGCTTGCGACGAATTCAAGCATGTTAATTTAGATGGAAATAGATAATTAGAACCGCTGATCTTGGTCTTTAAGTTGGATTTGGTTAAAAGACTTCCTAGTAAGCTGCATTAAAATATTTTGCCTGTTCTGTAGGAAATCCTAAATCCCGCTAAGCTTGGTATATGACTAATCTACCCTCTCATAAACTTTCATAATGACATTCAATTTAGTATATGATAGTTCAGTGTCAGGATGAGGCTTGGTGTATGAAACTAAATGTGATGATTGATTTTGTGAAATCATGATTTCATTTGAAGCCTTGTAAATTTTCTCCAGAGGAAATATTTATTTCTCTGTTGCTTCCACAGTTCTGTACCTTTGGCGAAACTAGTGAAACTATTTCTTTAAGGTTTTCAGTTTTAGTTGCTGTGGAAATGGGGGGTCTCTACGGCTTCATTTCGACAAATCAATTCTTCATTGATAGCTGAGTAAACCAGTGGTAAATAAGAGTGACTTCAAGTGTGTTCAGTAATCAAGTTGAGCCCAAATTTAGCAAAATTTAAATTGTTTTAAAATAAATATTTAATTGTTTTCATTGTTACGACTAGTTTATTATATTTTGTTTCTGTTTCTGGAAATCTAAAAGCAATATCGTAGTCTCATACTTCAACTTTCATAAACTATATATTTTAAGCAGTAGCAGAGTTAAAGCTTTCACATATTGGGCTTGACTGATCCCAGGATATTGTTTACTTCAATCAAGTTATTCTCTTTTCTTTCATGCATTCTGCTTTGCTTGTCTAGTGTGCACCCCTAAAATACATGAAAGCAAGCTACCTTCAAAAGAAAGCAAGAATCTGAAGTGAGAGAAAACAAGAAAATTTTCTTTGTCCCAGTCTTTTAAACTGTATCAGTACAGTCTAGAACCTTTTTCTAGCAAGATGACTAGCTTCACTAGTATTTGTTTTTGCCTTAAAAAAAAATATTAAGTGTTTTGTCTTAAGTTGTGGAGCCTAACTGTAGAGCCAGTAAGGGAATCAAGGTTAGAGAGGTTTAGGAATTTGTGTCCTTGTAAATTTCGTATTTGGAATTTGTGTCTTAGTAAGTTTCTGTTTTGCCCTAATATGTCTTATAATTAGGGATCATCATTAGGCCTTTATATTACTATAATAAAAGAAAGAAAGAGAGGTTAGAGAAGATAGTTGTGTGATTTACTTTTGTAAACTTTTTTTCATTGTAGTAAATTACTATAGTGGCAGAATAGGAAGTAGTCTCAAGTCTCAAATTAAGACGAATCTCCATAAATCTTTTGTCTTTATTTCTTTTTGCTAATTGATTGCTACGGTGAAATAAAATTAAGGTTTTCAATTCTCAACAGTTTGTTATACCCCCAATGGTCTCGCACAACATGTTGCATATTTTTCAAGTAGAAAGATGCTATAGAATGTAGCAGAGTAAAAAACTAGGCTATTGCATTGGCTCTTGCTTTGCAATTAATCTCTGTTGTACGGACACTTAATTAGGGTAGCATGTCCGTGTCTGACATATGTCGTTTCGATACCGACACTCTTCATACACTCTATCACAATTATTTTTCTTTTTTTATTAGAAATATTATATACTTTTAACTTAAAGTTGTTAGTAAATAAAAAATAGGTACTCTTATTTAAAAGATTTCAATAAGAAAAATTAATAACAAGTATAAAACTAAATTTATTCTATATAAATGAAGAATTTTAAAGAATTTAATAAACCTATCGACGACGTGTTGTGTCAGTACTTTTTTGAAAAATTTTCATCAACGTATCCGACACGTACACGAATCCGTGTCGATGCATCGTAGGAATTAATATACCACCAAATGTACTAAATTATGGAAAAGACTTCTTGTAATCCACATTGGGAACCGCCCACCCTCAATTGATGTTTTTTAGATATTACTGTTATGAATTCAATGAATGTTAGAAATACTGGTATTTAGCCATTTGGCTACCAAAAGGTTGAAAGGTTCTTATTCCGTTGGAATTAATGTATGGATGTAAGCCCACACATAGATAATGAAATCTCGAAATCATAGTATTACAATCTGTGTGAATCTTTCAATTTCCAAGGAGTTGCGCTAGTCTCAAAAGCATTTGGCCATCCCCTGAGAAACTACAAGGGAGGAATTCCAAAGAGAAGGTACCAATGAAATGAATCACAATTGAAAAAGGACATATCCAAGATTGAGAGTCTTCACGTGCATTATTTTTGTTAGACTAATTAAATTAATAACAATTTCAATCTTATTTCCTGTTACTCATTTGGTTGATGTGCATTTTTCAAACTTGCATTTAATCTGACTAGGATAGCATCAGCTAAAAATAAGTTGTTGATTGAACCTGGTCGAAATCTTTAGGCTGTTTTGTCTACATAATTGTTACCATGGAAGGAGAAAAAAAAAATATTAGGGATTTTTGAGAAGGAATTAGTGAGGTTTTCTTAGTTACTTCTAGGTTTTCTTAGTTACAGAAGTAAAGGAGTGAAAAGTACTTGTTGATTTCCTAGTGGCTTGTTGATGCAGGACCTTTGATATTATTTTTTAATTGCTTAATATCTTGAGGGTTTAAATGGGTGTCAATGGATACCCTAACGATAAACTCGGTACAGTCTTTTCTTGTACTCATAATAGATTACTAGCATTTGAAGCAGATAGTGAAAACAACTCTATGACCAGTTAGGAAGTTTGACGCCATAAGGTGGCTGGCCTTGAGGTGAAGTAGCATCCAGCCCATGAGATTTTGCAACTAAGTACTCATATATCATCAATAACACGTTCCAATCATAGTTTTGTTGCTGGAATCATGATTGTCATTTTTGTTCTTTCCTCCTTTTTTCTTTTTCTTTTTCTTCTTTTTTTTTTTTGGGTTGCTGTTCGTAAGCATTTAAAGTGTCTAATGGGAAATGAAAATGATGGGTTGATATAACAAAAACTTGTGTCATGTGAACCTGGAAATTTGACACTAGCAAATTGGCATTTCCCTATTAAACTTGTAGCATGTAAATCTTGTGTTTTTATTACTAAGAAAACGATATTACTATGAAACAAAATAAAATAATACAGTATGGACGTGAAAAATCACTGCATAAAGTTTGATGTCAAGTCGTACTCCTTTGTCTAATATCCTAATGTAAATTCACTTTTTTGGTCTAAACCCTAGAAATGAACATTTTATCAAAAAAACATGCATATGATGTAGGCACACAATGAGGAACCATAGATAACATGGAAAGGTATTGTCCAGAAATGTGAAGGGACTTATAGCCAACTTTGTAGGAAATTTTATTTTGTCTTTAGAGAAAGTAATTAAGAGCTTGTTTGGTACAGCTTAAAAGCCAATTAAAAAATCAATTTTTTGACCTTTATTTTACTATTTCAGCCATCATTTTTTAAATTTTCTCTCACAGGTAGGGTCCACTTTATCTCTAACGGTCAAAAAATCAATTATCAAAATCCTTGCCAAACAAGCACTAAGTGTGAGTGATTCAATTATTGTCAACTCATTTATAACATTTTTCTGTCTTTCCTATTCCTATTTCCTGGAAATTGGATGGCAATAAATGGATAATATTTATTTTTCTTAGAATGATATTGAATGATACTAGTAGGTTAAGTGTTTGGTCAATATTTATAGGAGAAAGAGAATATATACATTTCGCCTGGATATATCTCCATGATTAGACTTGTGTTGGCATCAACTCTCTTATAAAATAATAGAAGTGAAATCGATGAATAGAAGAGGAGAAGTTGTATTGAAAATTTTTTAGAACAATTTACATGTAGTGCTATAAGATGTCATAGATAAATAATTGTAGTTTTAAAGCAAATTCTCCAAAACATAAAAGAAAAAACTTTAGTGTGAAGGCAAGTACTTGGAGTAGAAGATGGTAAAATGGAAAGGAAAGGAACACAAAATAACAAAACTAAACCTTCATTCTTAGTAAATTTGATTCAGTTACATTAGTAATTTGTTGTGAATCCAGTCTATCCATCTCTATATCAGCTAGGTTGAGCTCGGTTCGGTTTTGACAGTTTGTGACAAATTTTCAAACCAAATTACTTAAAGCTATTTGAAAATTTTCCAAATGAAGCCAAACGACAATTTCTAAATTTAACCAATTCATACCATTTTTTCAGTATGGTTCGATTTAAAATCACGGTTTAATAAAAAAAAAAAATAAATAAAAAATATTGAATAATTTAAATTATAAATGTTAGTTTAAAATTTCATGACATAAATAGTATCATTAAAAATATTACAGATCAAAGTTCTTCAATTATAATCATCATAATGCAACAACATGATAGAAACATTTTAATCTCTTAATTGATACTAATTACAATTGTAATACGCACTTCATACCCTCCATAAAGATAAGAATATTGTACATGAATGCATTGATTATAGTTAAATGATATAAAACATCTAATAAAAGAAAATAAATAGAAAGATCAATCAAATCAAATAATTATATAATATATGCATACATATCTCTCAACTTTATGAGCTAATTTGAGAACCAAGCATTGCGGCAGACATGTTAGAAGCAGTAGACATAACATGAATTAAATAATGAAACAAATAATGATTGTTGCAGACTTAGATGGCAGGAATTGATATACACAAAATTGATACATGACTACACGTGAATTGATTGCAACATACACAACATACGTAGCATATATAATTCATAAATTGATACATACAAAAGTAGAGAAGGCTGGAATTGATATAAGCAAACTCAAATGTGTACACGCAAATTGATTTCGGTTATCATGTGTAGTGCTTCTAAAAATTGACGAATCACTATAGGTTGCCTTGTTACTATGCAACCCAATTTTAGGACAAATCACCACCCCAACCATATTTGCATTTAACAAACTCTTAAATGAATTCAAAATTCGATCACTGATACATAATACAAACTCAGGAACAATTGTGCATATTTGAATAGCTAACACATCTTTAGTAATTTTGGGGGATAATCTAGTATTTATTTGCATTGAATTTTTGTCAAAGTAATATGTCGAAAGGTTCATTGATCCTTCAAAACGACCATTTAAATAATTCACTAAATCAATTTTGCAATGAACAATAAAATCTAGAAAATAAATTAAAATGTAAATAGCTAATTGAGTAACATTACCAGAAAATTGAGATGTAAATAAACAAAAAATGTTGTTTGTTAAAATTTAAGGGAGCCCAGCTCAAATTAGATCAATATAAAACAATTACCAATAAAATATGGCAAACAAATACCAAAAAAAAAAAAAAGAAAAATTGGATAACCCGTAATTCGAGAAAAATATTAGTAAAAAGTAAAGAAATATGTGAGTTTGAATTAAAATTTATATTTAATTGTTTACTTAATTGTAATGGGCGGTGGATGAATATGGTCAATTGTTCAATACTTCATTCAATTTGAGAATTTTACATTCACAGTTGTGATGATTGATGAATATTTGGGTATGATTTAATTATTTAATTAATTGGGATATATAATTGTTATTTAGGTATTGAGATTAATTGGATCATGTCTAATATGAATGTATCTTTTTAACTGGAAATGCATTTAGTTTTAATTGAGTTGGATAAAATTTAATTTAATTTACTTTCATTATTATTATTATTATTATTATTATTATTATTATTATTATTATTATTTATTTATTTATTTATTTATTTATTTTTTGGATAAATTGTTAGCTGTTTGAGACGGTTTGCAAAGATTGAAACTTAAATCAAACCGTTTTAAAATGGTTCGGTTTGCTTCAAAACCAAAATGTTGACAGATCCACGTGGCCTCTAACCAACTCTTTGGATTCAATTCTGCTGTTTGACGGTTTCATTGTTCAGCTTTATCAACTGAAATTCTATACAATCAAATTCTTTGCAACCACAAAGTCTAACTCTCCCTTTAACTAGTTTTATGGCCTAGATTTGGTATGTTGGGAGATATCTTTAATGTTAGAACCTAATTCCTATGTTGCATTTGATTTGTATTTTTTTAACTGTTCCTTTCATGCGTGTAGTTTTTTCTTTTGTAATTGGCCTGAATATTTTGTAACTATTAATATTAAATATCTAGTTCCAATTCAAGACACAAGAATGCAATTCTTTTATATTGCATTAGTTAGCATTAGTTAGGGATTGCATCTCTCGTAGGTGAGAGTTTCTATAATTTTACGTGTATACCAGCTATTATGTCGATCTTCTCTTAAATATTCTGAATTGGTGTCAATTCCTCTTGTTTGCACATTCTTCCCATTCTTACTTTCCCCGTTATGTGGACTTAGCTTCCTCATTTCCTTTAATTTCAAATTAGGAAGATTTGGTTCTTTAGTGGCCGAACCCTCAACACCTTAAAGCACAGATGGTCTGCTTTGGACAACCTCTTTTGGCATTTTTTGGATGACATTTATGCCTTTCAATTATCATTTTGTGAGGATTGACGTAAAACAGAGAATAATTTCTCATGGAATGGAATGTTGCAATTAACTAACCTTAGTGAACAGATTTAGCTCTTTGTTGGGTAATCAGAATGGAAAGTAATGGAGGAAATAAAAAGAGTTATATTTATAATGTAACTGAAAGAATGTACTTATTTGTTGAAAGCTTAAGTAGAAATCTGCCCACACAAAAACGTTCCTCCTAGAGTAGTTTAATAACCTCTGGCAAATTGTCCTCCAGTAACCGAGTAGATTACACTGGTCAATCGGGCAAATACGGCCATTGTGACTAGGGTGCAAAAAGAAAATATAGGAGCAATAACACCTCCTTGATATACTTGGATAACATCCTTTCTTGATTGGGTATGGCTTTAATTCCACTGGCATTAGCTTATCTACTCCCCAGCCAAGTAACTGACCGAGCTGCTTAAGTGGCTAATGTAATGCGATAAATCTCATTCTTTGTTCAGTGCCCAAGTAAAATTCAGATTCAGCCTAGAACTTCCGTCTTTTCATATTTGTTTTTTCTGGCCGACAGGTTGATATTTGCAATTATTTGATAAATGTAGAGCATTAGTGTGAAGTGGAAGCAGGCAATGCAATCTTTGCATTTCGGGGAATATGATATTTATGTAAATAGGAAGCGGCCTACCAATCTGAATGATGTGGATAATAAATGTGAGTGCCACTCAATGTCATCAAGAAGAAAAAAGTTTTGTTTGGATCCATTTTGTATCTGCGTGTGCTTATCAAATTCATGCAATGCTTAGGTTGCATCCTATGATGAGAGCTCTGGATTTTGGAGATTACTCGGGGAAGTGTCTATAGTCTTTTTATTCATCACTTGACCACGTTATATTTGGTATCAAATATCGTTTGGACTTGTCTGTGTATATGTTCTTTTCCTTTTGTTTTAAACTTTGTAATTACTAATTTGGCATTGACTGCCTTTCCATATTGTCTTTAAAATGGGTAGGAATTTTGCTTGAGTACAACTCTTGCACTATCTCCATACCTTATGTCATTATATTGTTTTTATGTTCTAGCTATGAAAAGTATGTTCGATGAAATCAGCTCTTTTAAATTCTGAGATTCTCAGCACCTTACTTCATTCTGCTCCCATTATTAATTGATTGATATATTTGAAGTTGCAAAGCTAAGCAAACCTGCAAGTCTATTGCCTTTGTATTGGCTTTGTATTACTGTTCCTCACATACTCTTGCTCAATTTTGAATTCGAGATGGACAGAAAATAGAATATTTCTTTTCCTATTTCATAGATTATGCGTAAAAGGAATAGTTTGTACTGATTGGTGTTTCACGCTTCACGAGCTTATTGCTGGTGGGAAAGTCTTCAATATTTTAGAAGCCAATGAGTTAGCATCTCATATGCCAATTCTGTCGTGCACATTCAATGTTGTAACTGTTGGCACTTATGTTTTGTTTGCTGTAGTTTTCTGTTTCTCAATCTAGCTATAGCTTTATATATGCACTCAATAATTGCAATTTTCTCCTGGAGCAGTATGGAAGAGCTAATGCGGATACTGAAGTTGTTTGCCAGAAGTTGAAGAAAGATCTGCTGGCTGTGTTTAATGTTCTACCGAAAGACGTGCAGCAGCTTCTGATTATGAACCCCGAGAAGGCGGCTCTTTTACAAGAATGTCATGAATGCTCTAATCTACCTGAGCGCGCCCTTGTATCAAATGATGTAATAACCACTTCTCCCAGATGACGTGCAAAAAATGGAACAAACCTGGTAAAATCTACCTGCTGCTGATGGATTTGGGGGAAGTCATTGAATCATGTAAAATTCCGTTCTGTTATTTGATTGCAAGAATTCTTGATCCTCCTTTTAGGTTAGTAAACTCTCAAATTATTACAGGTATATTTGTTCTTAAGTACCCCAGTTTTTGTTATTTACTCCCCCCCCCCCCCCCCCCTCCCACCCCCCCAA